CTATTAAGAAGAGAGAACAGGAAGTAACGATTAACAGTACATTTAAATATTATAAGATCGAAGTCACCTGGAAAGCATGAAGCCAGATGAGAGTTCGAAAGTCGAGAAGTGTAATAGAGGTAACTGTTAGAATAAAACTTACGGTTACATCTAACCATTTCAACCAGAAAATGAATTAAACTTGACGCTAATCTAGCACTCTGCTTAAATTCTTAGTCTACGTACCATAGTGGAAAGTTCATCTGAAAAATTACCCTGAAATTATATATATCAGTGTTTATATATATATATATATATATATATATATATATATGTGTGTGTGTGTGTGTGTGTGTGTGGGTGTGTACAGTAAGAGAGAGATATACTAGCGCATGTGTGTTTAACGTACAGGAGAAATTCAATAATTATTAAAATCACTGTGCAATTTTCAGTAATAATATTTTGCCGAGTATAGCCTGTAACTTTTTGTTGTTGTGTAATAAATTCATTATATTTAAAAGTAATTAAAACATATGATACGTCCCGGAAAGGGATATATTTGAACGAAGTAGCTAAGTGGTTTTGGCTACTATAACCCAATAGAATACGGTAGCAGTAATCGATTGGTACGCGTCGTAGTCGCAGGTAAGAAGTGTAGATCATAGCGTAGTCCAATGGGCGTCGTTAAAGACTTAGATCTCAGACTAAGGCTCTTGACTTCTGACTCTCCTACGCGTCCAGCCAATCATATTCCAGTGAGGGGTAACACAGGCGTACGAATATTCCATTATATCAACATCTAATCAAAGTAACAATCTCTCCAAGTATACTTGGTCTGCCATCAATGTCGTAGTCTATGACATTGAAAATAAAATAAAAAAAGAGATCTTGGTATCTTACTAATGTCTTCTTGATATATTTTTCCTGTTGAGAAAATAATACAACGTTGTGAAAATATACGGCGGTTCGACGATGCAGTGAGAGAAATTAAGGTGAACGATGTAAACACCTTCAAAGTGTTTACCGGGATGAACTTCTTTTACCGTTTTGTCACGGGTTGGGATGCAAACGTAACCAAGCTTGTCGACTAATTGGTTAAATTTATCTTTCGTACATAGCAACATTATTCCTCAGTATTGATTGTTTTTGTATCATTTTCACCCTGTTACACTCAATACTGTTACTAAGAGTTATGTGATTGTTAAATAGTCAAAGATGAGGATGCGTAATTAAGGGAAGATGATATCAAAAGAAACAGGATTCAGGAAAACAGAACACAGTGATTGGCGTTTCCTTTAAACTATGAAAGCAGTAAAGCAAAAAAAATTAAAAAAACGTGAAGTGAGTTCCACATGCTAGAAGCGCTAGCAACGGAACTATTAGAATATAAATGACGGTTACACTTTGCGATTACGACAGGAAAACTATGATATATAGTTGTCTGTCTACTGATACGCATAAATTCATGTTGTCGGGGTAGCAACGAGGAGAACGTATTGAAACATTTGTCATAAATATACTTATAGTAAAGACACACGGAATTTATATCACGTGGTATGAAAGTGAATGAATTCGAGATGCCAGATTGGGACCGATAATATTACAGATACTTCTCTGGGTTTTACCAGCAATATCGAGATCTATTGCCGTGTGAACCAGACTAGATGTGGCAGCAACATTCGATTCACGGACGAATGGTGAATTTAGAAATCTGCAAGATGGATTATGGCGAGTAATGTCTGTAATTTAAGATTTGCCTTATAGACGATTCCTTTCATATCCGAACAAAAATGAAGTATGACTAACGGTTACTCTGTTTTTTTTTTCTTCTGGCACAATTTTTTTCCTAGGCTGAATAAGACTATAACATAGCAGTTTTTAAACACTGACGCACTCACTATAAAAAATAATATTTGGCTATCTTATCCTTAGTGACGATTAGATTTTGACTGACACAGTAAAGTGACTATCAGTCAGATCTTGCGGAATTCGTTGACCAAGTTTCGACTCCTTACCGAATTCATGGAATTGTGTTATGTTTGTATTGGACAGTTGTTCTAATTCTTGTTCTGTCAGTTTCTTATTAGTTCAGAGATATTTAGGAATGACTGGTTTTCGATTGGATATCTTCGTCCAGAATAGAAGAAATTCTTAAGGAGAATATTCTGTTAGCGAAAGTGAGTGAACCATTGTTGGCATTTGCTGACATTTACGAGCTTATTTTCATCAACAGTTCAAATCTTACTCGCACATTCTGAACCTGAAAAAAACTTTCCTTTTAACTCTTACACCACACAGCGCATAAAATTGGTCACATTTGGCTCACGTCAATTCTAAATTATTCACCATTATATTAAATATTCATGAAAGGGCAGAGGAAATATACGAACACTATGATCTTTGAATATATAAAGCATAATTATGCAAACAAAAGCCTTTAAAATGTCCCTGAAGAACCAAGTGACAGGATAACATGTTTACATGCCGAAATGCATTTTGGAGAAAGCTTGCTGGGTTATATGAATGCATATTTCATAATTCTTGGTGGCAACATAAGCTCAGTTCTCTATGAGAATATTCAAAACTCTTTTGTAGGCACTGTTCCTATATATTTTGTCAGCTGACACATCTTTTTCGTGGGCCTGCAAAGAAGTTATCAAAGATTATTATTCAGCATTAATTCGTGTCTCAAAATAAACAGATAGACCTCCCCAACTTGAAAGTACCACCAATAAAATTAACTGGAATACCAAATAGTTCTCCTTGGTCATTTACCCGTAACCACGGAATCTATCATGAGAACGATCTCCACCACCGGCCATTGACGTCCATCTTGGAAGCTCCCCGCACAGCGATACCTTGTCATTATCGCACTGTTTATATCTGTTAATCTCAATCGAACCTTTGAGCTAGATGGCTGCTGAATGTACAAGGAATTTTATCCTCCCTGTTACAAGACTTATATTTAATCCAACATTTAAAATGGAGGATAAACCTTCTTATAGGTTCAATTATATTTCATCTATCAGTTATGGGTTAAATACCAAGCTCTAATAATTCAATCGAGTCAGCTATTTTTTTTTATGTAGCTAGTTGTACTGTCAAATCAGATATTCTCATTTTTTTGGTGTGCTCATATATAAAAATACACTGTAAAATAGAGTATCATGTGGTACTATCCTTTTAAGTTAAAAACGAAAGTGTTTTCGATAACCACCAGTCGTTTAAATAAAAATAATTACAAAAAAAATTTAAAAGCCCAAAGCACAGACGCCATATTGTCTGCTTTCGGATTGTCATCATTTTTACCTGATAACAACCAATAATGTTCAAAAGTCCTTTGTTTTTTAAAGTTTCGATGTGTTTTTTTCATTGATCCCTACGTCAGTTAAGGATTTAATTTGGAACAAAGAAAAACCTTAACATACATACTTTAATCTATCAAATAGAAAATGATTAAATTATGTTTTTAGTTTTGAAATATTTTGTCTTTATGTCGGATCGTCTAATCACTAAAAATAACATTTGAAGTAATAAAATGTTCAGATTAAAAATATATCCATTAACTCCTTAGAAATATACAGACACACTTTTATATATATATATATATATATATATATATATATATATCAGAAAGCACTTAATATGTTTGAATGATCTCAAAAAATAATTAGATTTTGAAAATAAGTGACTATTTTGAATTGGCGAATTAATTCTCTTTTCAGAAATTTTTCTCACTAAAATTAAATCAGATTCCCCTTTGTCGTAAAAAAGCAGGCCTGCATTCCTACTCAACACCCAGTTACAATAATACGGCTAAAGACAGTGTATGATTGAAAGAAAGAGTAACTGTCCAATATATTCACTAAGAATTGGAGATGTTAAAATCAAATCAAGTACAGAAGCTATAAGATTTGTGAAATATTTAGATAGATGACGGGAAATATAACACCGAAATCCGAATTACAACAACGAAAAATGCTTTAAAAAAAAACAAAAAAATAATGAAATAAAAGTATTAAGAAACAAGGAAAATTTAGGAAAATTTCTTAAGAAACAAACGTGACATTGCTGAACTGTTATGCGCAATGATAGTGAATACAGAACAAATACTTTTCTTGTGAATAATATGGACGGAGAATTTAAAAAATAGAGAATATATAAGGAAATTAAAGAAAAATGTTACTAGTAATGACAATCAGAAAGTAGCCAATTTTTTGGAGATTCCACGGAGAATGAAGCTTGGAAAATCGAATGCTGAAGGGACGTGCTTAAAGAAAATGTGTCTGAGGGAAATAGTAAGTAATCTACGGAACGGCCGTATATAAATTTGGATAAGAGAAGAATTTTAAAGAAACAGTAAAAAGACAATCATTTCGAAGAGCTACGAAGGTTAGAGACTTTAGGTGTGGCATGATCACCCACGGTTAGAAGTTTGAGATATTGATTCATTTTCTATAGCTTATCAATACATTGCAAGTTATTTAAAGCTAGAAAAAATAGATTGTAAGAATATATTTTTTAAATTTTTAGATAATAATAGTTTAGTAATACAAGTTTTAAAAATTAAGCCATTGTTTTGGAGAGAAGCGGTGGATTCATATCTTTTCCAGGAGCAATTGTGCATACTTGAGTATAACGAACCTATTGGAAATTAGAGCTCGGATCTTCGATTAACAATTCCGAGCAATTATTCATTACACCAACATCACATACATGCTTACAGAACATGGTATTCCAAGCGGTCACGTACTTATCGGGCTCGTCGTTACTTAATTAAGGTGAATATCACGGGTAAAAGGGACATGGCATATAGAGGTATAATAATTTTAGGAAGAAATATTACCATTCTAAAACTAATCCAATTTACATCGATCCTTTCTACAATCTTAAAGTTGAAAATTTTCGTTTTATTCTTTCTTGACAAATATAACGAAATGAGGTCTATATAAAAGATGAAGAATGTCAATGTAAGTTGAAACAACGTGTATAAATTACATATATGATGAAAGTATATGTACTTTTATGATTAAATAGCGGTCATTGTAGAAAAGAGAAGCCTGGGCATATGGCGCGTTCCGGAAGTCGATGTACCTCGCGCCTTGCGCAAGAGAAAGCATAGCGCGCCTTGCGGAAACCGGAAGTCAATATATAGCGCGCCTAGAGTAAGCGGCAAGCCAATGTATAGCGCCCATTACCGAAGCGGGATATCAATTATGAACGTACACTGATGAATCGGCGAGCCAATGTATAGCGCGCTTTGCTGAAAACGTTATGTTCTGATCAGTTTAATTGGCACTAGATTTCCTTTTTGGCTTTTTTTTAAAAAATCAAGTTTCAAGCCCTGTCTGAACCAGGCTATCAAATAGATTTACTGAGATATGATAGAAATATTTAAGATTCCAAATAATTCTTGAAAATGTGTTTGCTGTTGTTTCGACCAGACTAATTTTTTAACCATTTCTTTTCTATTTAAGGTATCTGGCGGGGATATTCTCGATTTTTTGAAGTGGATCCTGTCTTTTTGAACATGGCTGGACTCCAAACGCGCATTCGTTTTTGTTTTCTGTTAGTGCGTTGATGGACAATTTTTATTTTATAGCGCAAATATTTTCATTCCAATAAACTTAATAAAATTTGCTACTGATCTTTCGGGTTCGGACCACGACTCTAGATCATCAAATTTGTCGTTTATTCTTTCCTGGATAATGGCTTTTACAAAGTCGAGTTAATACCTATCTTCTATAAAGCTATTCTTCTTTCATATGCCAAGACCGAGAAAGGATCAATTGACGGTGGCGTGCGACTATTTATTTAACAATCTACGTCTTAATTCACTTGTCTTTTCTCCTCGAAGATAAATCTTGCTAGATTTGGCTAATCCTATTATTGTCCCTCACTTAATTATCACGACCGTTACGGCCTGCTAATACTTCATAAATAATGGACTATTCCGTTTTGATCGTGTGGATAGAGGTGAAAAGACACATGTTTTCAGTGAGAAACTGAAAGAAATAAAGAAGGGACGATAAAACTGGAGAAATTGAGAATCAGATTCACCTAATAAGAACAGACACTACACTTTGATCTTAGCCAAAAAAAGCGAAGTTATATTCAGCGCGCCTATGTCCCTACCGAATATGACACAAAATCGAGTTTTAAAGTGAGATAAAAGCCTAATTTTTTTGACGCACATTATAGAACCACAAAAATCCAGTTACCATAAATAAGACTGGCTGCTGAAGTTTTTTTTTAAATTATTATTAAAAGAAATAAAGGTAAGACGATAATTTAGTTTTAGTTTGTTTGGTCATATCAACCTCTGTGTGTTATTTAATGCTGAAAAGATTTTTATTGTTGGTAATATTTTGCCAAAAATGTATTACTTCAAATATTTTTTTTAAATGAATACTGCTAATAATTTTTTGCTTCAAAATTCATTGCTTGTAATAACATTTTAAAAATACGTATAGCTGGTATTAAATCTTATTTTTACACTTTCATAGTGTTTTGACCTCAGTTTCGGGGTCAACTATTTGCCCATAGCTGGGACCCCAACAGGTGATACGACCCCGGTTTAGGGTGAACCAAGGAACACCAGCAATTAATAGGTGTTTCCACACTCCTCAAAACCTGAACAGAGGCCTTGCTGTTGGATGTGGTTTATCGTCTTACCCAGGACGCTGAGAATTTGGCTAGAAAGAAAGAGGATATTGAACTGTTTTACGTCTCCTGCAAATAGTTCATAAATATTGAACTACACCGTTTTCATTGCTGTGAAAAATGAAAGACACGCACTACCTGATTTCAGTGTGGAAATGAGAGAACGGAAGATGGAAGTTTTCATCAACAGTTTCAGTGAAATGGAAAATGTTGTCACTTTTCAAATGTTTTCATTTGTACCCACTTCTTAAAATAACGACCAGAATTCATATTTATGACTGTTATTGCAATATATTGCTAAAGTTTTTAAGCTCAAATATTTAACGATGCGATAAACGAATTTATATGGATATGTTATTGTCTTGGAACACGCCATGAGATTCCGCAATCATTAACTGAAGAATGAAGTAATATTCATCTGCAAATTCAAATACGGAAGCTGAACTTTTAACTGGTCTTTCTTGTGAAAGATAATTATGTTGCATTGGTTCTGGAATGTAATAAGAATAATTTCGACTTCTTTGTTTTGACGTACATTCTAATACAGTTGTTCCCAACCACTGTGCCGCGGGACATTAGTGTGCCGCGGAATGATTACTGGTGTGCCGCGAAGAAATAATACCTAGAAGCCATTTAATTTCATTTTGTTTAATAAAGACATTCAATTTCTTACGTCAACGCTCAATGACATTTAAGTAATATTGGTTAGGAATCGGAATCGTTAAAAATATAGGTATTGTTTTATCATCAGTTTATATCGTCTATATATCTCATTCACAATATTTACAGATTCTTAGTAGATATTTTTTAGTAAATATTTAGGTGTTGTAAATTAAAGTTTTAGTAAGACAAACAAAAAACAAATTAAATATAATAAAAATTCTTTTAGATGTATTTTTTTTTAATTTTAGATTCAATTTACCCTTAATTATGGACAAGTTTCGGAAAAGAAAAGACGATTGTGACAATAATAATTCTACAACGTCATTTTAAAAAAAACAAAAGTTCACCGGTTGTATAGTGATGATTACTTGAAATTTGGATTTCACTGGACTGGAGATACACAGATTCCTTCTCCGCTATGTGTCGTTTGCGGCCAAACGCTGTTTAATGAAGCAATGGTGTGCCGCCATGTAAAAAAAAGTTGGGGAACTACTGCTGTAATATTATGTGTAAGAATTTCCGCTGAATTTTTGATTTTGTAACATTTTATTTGTTTCCTTCGCCATTCATTCTATTTTTATTTATTACGCTCTTCAGCCCAACCTAGCTTGTTGTCCCTTTCTTTTTACTTGCTTTAACGATAGTAATAAATTTTTTGATCCTTCTTCTGTTGTTACGTGTAGTTCCCATATCAGGTTATCAATGAACGAATAAGAGCTTTTCTTTTCTTATTAACATCATTATTATTATTGCAAAACCCATAAGGTTACAACTGGCTTCGATTTATGACGATGAGGACAGCATTAATATAAGGTAATTTTGTTCAGTTTTCATCGCACCAAAATTTTCGAGTGAGAGGAAAAATACAAGCAAGCGTTAATCGATCGTCCACCTTATCGATCCTTCAAACAAACAAGGAATGCATGGCGGTCATCATTGGATATTCGCTGCATTCACGACGATTCACCATCTGCATTGGACGGCCACGTCATCCCGAAGCAGCAAATGAATTCAAACGACGAGCTGAGGTCAGAGGCCAGCAAGGGAGACGCATTTTCAAGAGTAAACCAGAGCAACGTAAGCAAGGCATAAACTTTTCATCTAATCGATTAGAACGGCTACATATAAGATCGTTTAAATGCCTTCGCCCTGATCGCGGATGCTTAATTCAACGTCAAGTATCCAACCAATAAAAAGAAGCGGAAAGAAAGGTATGCTTGAAAATAAAGGCGTCAAAATCTCGTTTTATTGGCCTAACTGTTCTATATTTTCATGGTATCCATCATTTTGTTTAGAAGTTACATTCTTTTTATTTGTAAATGGCATGAGGTGAGATTTATTTATTAATTGTTGACAGTATTGGAGAGAATTTTTTTTTGTCAGCAATAACTTTAAATAATTTTCCTTATTTCTCGATACGAACGCACTCAACGTGGACTGAAAAAATAAATTATGATCACTGGTATAAAAAAAGCGTACCAACTGAAAGAGTAGTATGTATATATATATATATATATATATATATAGGCAGAAAAGTTTGGTTAAATAATTTAGACTTATCTTATTTATCTATTTATTTTAATTCTTTAAAATACACGAATTAATTTCTTGGTGGCTGCAGAAAATTGGTCGAGAAACATGCCAATAATTTCTTTCAATCTCATCTGCAACCAAGTTCATGTGTTTAAAATATGTGTGGTTGTGTACCCGTAAATTCAAAATATTTTTCACTGTGCGTTTAAAGCATTTCAAATTCTAAATATAGTATTTCTATATAAAAAATGACATTGTTTCTAGAAAAATTTAAGAAATTTATTGCTATACTCATAGCATTCTCTTATTTCAAGGGCTTGCAGAATTTTATGTTTTGTTTATTATTATTTTGATGAAGCACTGATATATTTTCGACTAATATCTGCCTAAACTGAGCATGTGAACTATGCTCATTCAAGTAAAACGTAAGCCTTTTCATCAACGCCATCATTGTAAAAACAACATTTTTATTAGAAACGCAGTCTCCCAAAGGACATATAAATTTATATACAACGTTAGTATTTTGTAAAAAGCTAGTTGATGGAGAAGAATTGTTTTGGACGACTATGTTGGCTGTATTAAATTTAACATATTATATAAATAATTTTATTTTTTTTACTTGAATCCTTGGAGGATATATTAGAGATTATAAGTACTTTAGATATTTTTCCTGCTACTTATAGTTAGAATGATTTGGATTACGGTATCGTAGTTTTATATATTTAGAGATAGTTGATGATATATTCATTTTTATTTATGTTTATATTCCCAATAGCTCGTCTAATTGGTTCATCAACAATGTTATTAGGAAAGACATTATTAATGAGGTTTGGTTAATATTTTTCAATTCAATATAACCAATCTTCCTTGTTGAAGTGTTTGATTTCATATGGTTTATAAAATTTCGAATAACAGATATTTTCCAATAGTTACGCCATTCATTTTATAGGTGAGAGTGTTAAAGCAAGTTTGTTTCTATTTTATATGGAGAATTATAAATGTATTATTATTAGTGTCTATCAATTATCAATACCTCAAGAACGGGATTTTATTGTCATTGTTAAATTCATATGTGAAATAAAATACAGAGTTTTTTTGTTTTTTTTTTGCAGATCATGTAATTTGTCTATGTCTTTTACTAAAATGAGAGTGTTATCTATATATCTTAGGTAAATGGAGTTCTTTTGTGGTGTATCAAGTACATTAATTCCTAGCTTAAATCATATTTCAACATGTATAATGGAAGTAAAAATTATATATA